ACCCACGGGGCAGCCGCAGAGGCAGGCTCGCGGCCTGAGGCCACCCTGCGCGCTCACACTGTAAACTGAAGAACCGAGGGTCCAGAGATGTGTGTGCAGAGAAGGTCGGAAAACCCGCTTGGAGCCCCGGGGCCCCCTCCCCGCGCCGGGCCGGCCCCTGCCCGTCCGCAGTCCACGGCGGCGCCTCCTCTCCCAGCCTGACTTGTGGGAGGGCCGGCCGCCACCTTTCCTGCTTGAGCGGAGAAGCGCCTCTTACTTGGACCTTTTGACTTCTTGGGTAATTTGCCTTTGAGATTGTACCATTTGATGGTCCCCGCAATATCCACAAGCTCTGGAAAGCAGGGGATACCTGGCGTGATGGGGAGAGGGCTGAACTGGTGACAGGGGACTGTGCGGGGCTCACCAACCTCGGGGGTCGGACGGACTGGTCAGCTCCCAAGTGTCTTCCAGGGGAACGGTGTGACCAAGCTGTCTGGTGCTTTCCGGCACTGACGTTCCGCGACCCTAAGAAAGTCCAGGCTGACCCTGGAGAAGGTGCCCTGCCCCCATGCCTGTGCTCGGCAGGTCCTGAGACCAGACTCCGCCGGGGCCCTTCGACCTCAGGACCCCAGCGCATGAGTGACCTGTGCCTGCGGGCGGGCGTGGGCGGCAGCTTCCCTGTGAAGCTGGACATGAGACAAGCAGCACTGCGCAGCCGCCGGGACTGCGTGGTGGGCCTTGGAGCCGAGAGATGGGGCGCATCCGGACCCTCCTGGCCGCCCCAGACGTGACAGCCACCCTGCTGCTCCGCCCGCACCTCAGGCGTCGCCTGCCGCTCCTCTTGAACTGGGGGGTGGGCTCGAGTGTGAGGGGCCTGGGGGGTCCTCGCTGTCCACATTGGGGAGAGGAAGACGTTGGGCGGTAGGGGCTCTGCCCTGGGAGAAGGGCTGTGCCTGGGGCTCGCCCTTGCCCGCCCTCTGCCCGTCCTGCCCTGCTGCCTCCCCCTTCCTCCTCCTCCGTCCCTCTGCTCCCCAGGGACCTGGGGTCAGGGGCCTGTGCTCTCTCACAGGATCGGTCAGGATTTGCCAAATCTCCTTCTCCCCACATCGGGACGGAGCTTGGCTGGCTAGCTTCTCATGCGTCTCTGTGCCTGGGTTTGCAACCGGAGCCTGAAATTACACCAGACCAATGTGGACGGTGAAGCAGCCACCGCTCCCCCCGCGCCCACATGCCCAGGCAGAGGGCTGTGCAGTGACCAAGAGTTGGGCCACAGCGCACCCCGGTCCCAGCTGGTGAGAAGAGAGGCAGTATTGCACCCCGGATTCTGGGACAGCCTCCTGCCTGCCGCTGGCCAGCAGGGTGGCGTGAGGAGAGCAGGGCCCCTTGGGGCCCCCCCTGTGGCCTGGCAGAGGGCGGCGAGCCCGCCCCTGCCTCTCTCCGCACCACAGTTGGCACTGGATGAGGACGGGTAGCCAGTGCTGCGGGACTGGGCCCGGCGGCCGGTCACTGAGCGCGCGGCCTCGCTCCGCGCGCTGCCCGGCTCTGCGGTGCGGGCCACGTCACGGGCCCCTCGGTGCTTGTCACTCTCTGGCCAGTTACAACATCCATTGCCCATCGCGCCATTAGAGTATAAATATTATCACATTTCTGGGTTCACAACTCAGAGAATGTTGGCATTTATTTATTTCTATAATCAAAAAAGAAACACGGACCTGAAGCCACGGAAGCGGCGGCCGGGCCGCGCGGTCCGGGTCCGGGGAGAGGCCACAGGGGTGGCCTCTGCTTCAGAGCAGCCCCTCCCCGCGTCCTCCTGAGCCGCACATGAGCTCGGCCGCGGCCCACCTCAGCGGCGAGAGCCGCAGCGACGCGGCCTGGCCAGGGTCTTGAAGGAGCTACAGGTTTTCTTGTGGACGTTTCTGTTAAGAGACAAAGCATAAAACGCCAGCACTCACATTGTAGATTGATAGTCCACAGCGTTCTAACCACACCAAATTCTGGTCTTGAAGGTAGGGAAGAGAACTGCTACATGACTGCATTGTTTTGTTGCTGTTTAAGAAATTCTTTTGGCTTTCTAATTCTAACTATTGAGCATAAATTGTTTATTAACAGTATGACTCAAAGGTGACAAAATTCAGACCCACAACATTTCATAAAGCTCCCTTAGGAGTCAGTACTACACATGTAACAGCAATAAAAATAAGGGTTCTTGTTGATGATGGGAACATCAAAAGAGCACGGAAACTTAGCCACCGAAACGCGTCTGCTGTCTGGGCTCAGCCTCCCTCCTGGCAGTGGCTGGACCGAGTCGCCTCTGAGGTCCCTTACGTGAAGGCCCTTGGCATCTACCCAGCGGCCAGGGCTGGGCCTGGCCTACAGCAGGCAGCTCCCTTGCAGGTGCTGCCGCCCGGGCCCTTGCCTGCACCACGGCCCCTCCATGGACTGACCTCCCGGCATCTGTGCCACAGCCTGTGCCCCGGGAGCCGCCACCCGCCCGCAGAGCGCTGCCCCGTGGGGCCTGTGCAGCACAGCACGTGACTCCTGGGAGAGCCGTCCGCAGGGCCCCATTAGGTCACCAGCAGGACACAACTGATGACCGGCAAGGGGGCGGCCCGACCAGGCCGAGGGCCCTCCACTTCTGCGTCCGTTCTGATGACACCGCGCCGGGCACCCACTGCCCTGTTGTTCTCGCCACGAAGCTCCGAGCTGGAAGGCCCCGTGGGGCGGCCTCTGCTTGTCCAGTTTCCGGAGAAGGGGAGACCTCTCTGCAGCTGTCCGCAGCCTGTTCTCTGCATGCAGACACTTGTCCGTGTTGGCTTCAGCACCCTTGGGGGAAAGCAGCTAATGGAGGGGGTGGTGAGTAGGCATCTGCTTATCCTCAGGGTGGGAGGTGTCCCTCGGCCATGTGCTGGGAGCTGCTGGAAGCCCAGAGGTAACAGCGGAAACAACTTCCTCCTGGGGACAAATGAACGGTGAGAAGCAGCAAAAATCCCGCCCACAGCGAGGATGGGAAGACAGTCGGGAGCCTGTACAGCGCAGGCTGCTGTCACGGTCTGAGTGCAGCCTTCCCCGTGGTTCGAAAGAGCAAGGACACGACACCAGTGTTCTGTCGTCTTCGCCGCCGTTTACCTCGGCCCCTCATTCCCAAGCGCCTGGGGATGGGATGCGCGTGCTGGAGAATGTGGCGAGGAGATGACAGATCCGCCTGACTGCGGCGTCTTCTCCGACTCGGCGTTCGGAGTGCTCTGGGGGCCCACGGGTCCCTCGCTGCAGGCCGTCACCATCACCCCCCGGAGGCTCCCTGCGGGTGCAGCGGTGCCGCTGCAGAGCCACCCGCTGTGGCGGGCAGGCCGCAGAGCCCAGTAGCCTGGCGCTGCCTCTCTGATGGCGGCTCCAGAACGTGCAAATCTAAGCACATAAGTTGAGGGAGAACATAGCTTGTATATTTTCAAAAATTAATTAGAGCAGGTTGCCTTCCATTCTTTAAACCCTCAGGAGCCCTGGGCCCGTGGCATATTGCACATGTGAGACAGACACGCCCGTGATTGTCTGTGGTTCGGTCTTCTCCCTGTGGCTGCTCTTGGGGACTGCGCATCCTCGTGCTTAGGAAAGTGCTTTGCAGAATTATTCGGAAGAGGGACCATTTGTGTCTCAGACAGTTAGTGGCGCTCTGTGACTAACGTGTGGCAAATTTGATTTGCTGACGTTTTGAAGGATGTGTTAGGTTTTAAAAACGTGCTGGTGCGTTGTGTGGGCTTGCAGAGGTGTCTTCCGTGACAGACACACGGAGGCACAAACCTGAGGGGCAGCAGAAGGCCCGGGACCCCAGCCCAGGTCTCAGTTGCCGTCCCTGCTCCTGCAGCGCGATAGCGAACTCTCCAAGTTCTTCTCGGCCGTGCTTTTAGTCGCAGAAGCAGGGAACAGGTGTGGCAGTGGCACGTCGTTAGCCAGATCCAGCTGTGGAGGGCACAGTGAGAGTCCCGGCGTGGCCTCCTGTCTGCGGCCGGCGTGGGAGCAGCTGCGCGGCCTGACGAGACGCGGGTGCCAGGCCCCCTTAGTGTGAAGCAGGGCGTTCTTCCGGCGGAACACAGGCGCCTTATGTCGTTTGTAACATGGTCTTTCTTAAAAAACAGATTTCCTACATACATTTTTCATACTGGAAGGGACAGCTAGTTGCACATTATTTCTACCAGCTCACCAAAACCTCCATGCGGCCTGTGGCAGGCGAGGGTCTCCACACTGCACGCCGGCTGCGAGGCTCTGCCGTGTGTGGGGCCCACCTCGGTCCTGCCGTGGGAGGTGCTTGGCCCCGGCAGACTCTCCCCACCCCCCGCCTGCTGAGACGCTCACCCCAGCAGTTGCAGCTACTCAGATTTCCCTCCCACGCTCGTACTGTGCATTCCTGTGGCTTCACTGTGCATTCGAGAAATTATCTCCAAGGTACCTAACTCAAAATAGCTTCTAATTCAGCCCAGATTTGTGCTTCTGATGCTGAACGTACGCGTCGGTGGCAGCTCGCACAGCTCCTCGGGAACCTGAGGCTCCCCGCCCCCGTGTCGCCTGAGCGCCCCGTGAAAACAAGCCGCTTAGACGCAGTGGCCATAAACATCTGCTTAAGAGTTGAAACAAGTAAAGTTCACGCACTCTTACGAAGTCTAGTAACATGATAAATAGAAAGAACGATTAAGCATCTGGTTGGGCTACCGATAAATAAAGCCAATAAAGAAAATAAGCCGTTCTCAAAGTTTAGAAGCAATGAAAAATCGATATTTTTAAATGATGTTTTAACCATATATACTGGTTCACTCTGAGATTGATGGAGGAAATTGTTAGTGACTGGAGCGTGTCCTCGGCGGCCTCGGCTCCGGTGCGCGCTGCCTGCGGCGGGGCACAGGCCTGGGTGTGGCGCGCAGGGTGTGGCGCGCGGTTGACTTGCTGTCCTTGCTGTTGCAACTAAACTTCAAGTTCTAGCCACTTTTTTCTTTTCTTTTCTTTGTGTCCTTTTTATTTTATTTTCTTTGCAGAAGATCACCAAATGAATTGTCACAATAGTCGAATAATGCAAGACGCAGAAAAGGATGATAATAATAACGATGAATATGATAATTACGATGAGCTGGTGGCCAAGTCCCTGTTGAATCTCGGCAAGATCGCTGAGGACGCAGCCTACCGGGCCCGGACAGAGTCCGAAATGAACAGCAACACCTCCCACAGCCTGGAGGACGACAGTGACAAAAACGACAGCCTGGGCCGGAAAGGCGAGTTGAGTCTAGACTTAGACAGCGATGTTGTCAGAGAAACAGTGGACTCCCTGAAACTGTTAGCGCAAGGACATGGCGTGGTGCTCGCGGAAAACATGAATGACAGGAGCTACGGAGACCCCATGTCGCAGCAAGACAGCAGGAACATGAACTACATGGTGCTGGGGAAGCCCAGCCTGAACAACGGGCTCGCGGAGAAGCTGGTGGAGGAGAGCGACGAGGAGGTGTGTCTGAGCAGCCTGGAGTGCCTGCGGAACCAGTGCTTCGACCTGGCCCGGAAGCTGAGCGAGAGCAGCCCGCAGGACCGGGGCGCCCCGCAGACCCCGAGCGTCCGCCCGCACCCGCGGCCGGAGGACGACTTCTCGGGAAGGACGCCGGACAGGAACTACTCTGACATGATGAACCTGATGAGGCTCGAGGAGCAGCTGAGCCCCAGGTCTAGAACTTTTTCCAGCTGTGCCAAGGAGGACGGGTGTCCCGAGAGAGACGACGACACGGCCTCCGTGACCTCGGACCGGTCCGAGGAGGTGTTCGACATGACCAAGGGCAACCTGACCCTCCTGGAGAAGGCCATTGCCTTGGAAACAGAGAGGGCCAAGGCCATGAGGGAGAAGATGGCCCTGGAGGCTGGCCGGCGGGACAGCACGCGGTCCTATGAGGAGCAGTCACCGCGACCGCTGCCCGGGGACGAGCGGAAGCCCAAGTCCAGCGACAGCCATGTCAAAAAGCCATACTATGGTAAAGGTAATATTTCTACCTAACGTAAGTTGCCTCACGGAAACATGAGCTCGAGGGGAAGATGTGGATTGTGGTCACAGTTAATGTGTGCACCACCGTAGACTTAATCTCTAATGCACCTTTCTCAGGGCAGGTTCCAGGGCTATATCCTGTGATCATGTCTCTGAAGAGCCAATAAAGTGTTTGTCTGAGAAACACACACAACAGCTCAATGTCATATTATCAGAGCAGATGAGCACTAGGCTATTTCAGTGGAAAATGCATGTCTTGGAAAGAAGGGTCAGAGCACCACCCATCCTGAGATAGAAGCGATTAGGACGAGCCTGTGGCCTTACAGGTGGACCACACTCGGAGTGGCGGGGTTTACGTGTCAGCCAGTCGGGGTGAAGCACTGGGTAGGTGACATCCCGATTTATAAAATTATCACCCAGTGACAGTCATCGGTAAAACCCCCCCCCCGTAGAAGACATCCCCGGTAGAGACTGAACAGTAACGGGATGATGGGTGACGTGAGGCGAGGGTGGTGAGTGCACACGAATCACCGTGAGGTCGTCAGTGACGGGAGCCACCTGCTCTGCCAGGCGTGGCGCGTCCCTGGCCAAGACCAACAGCCACTCCCCGCGCAGGCTCCACGCCGTCGTGGGGGCATTGTCGCACTCACTTTTTTATAAGACACCTGGAGCCGCCGGGTGTGGCAGTTCCAGTGGGTGTTCATGAGACCTGTGAGCACAGGCGGGCACACCTCCCCAGTCGAACCCACACGCCTTAGTCCTGTGTTGCCTGCTCCTGCCTGAGCGGCCAGCCCCTCCCTGGGAGGCGGTTGAGCACCTCGCCTCCTGCAGAACTGTGCTGTGCCCGTTTCAGCCACGGGCTCTTAGAATTAGGTAAAAAGCAGTTTCAAGGATAAAATTGGTGATTCCTTAAACCCTTCCATGTAAGTACCAAGAAAGATCCTCTGTCGTGTATTTTATTCTATTCCTTATCAACACTCAGTTTCCTCCCTGTGGATCTGATCATGAGCTTCAGGAATTTGGTTTGAAAATCAGTTGCGGTATGAACTCCAAACGATCAGAAAAAACATCTCTTCTGCTGGCACGTAGGTGTGTTTTCTCCTCTCAATGTGTGCGCATAGCCCAGGGCGAGCTGGGCGTCGCGAGACCCAAACCCCGTGCGAGGTGAGACTGAGCCAGAGGCCCTCGGGTGCTCGGCCTGGCTGGAGCCTCGAGGCCAATTCAGGGACACAGAGGGAGGCCGGCCTGGGCGAGGTGCGCGTGCAGAAGGGCTGGCGCTTCAGGCCACGGGGTCGAGCGCTGCGGAGCGTCAGGCGCGCTCCGGGTGAGCGTCGTGTGAGTGCTGTGGTCGTAGTGGAGTCTGTAGGCGGTTGGTAGTTGGATATTTGAGAATCGTATCTCAACGTTTTTGGGAGGCAGTAGTGCCTTCCTCACGGCGTGCTCAGCGGGACGCAGGCACGCTGCGCTGGCATGTGCGGCCTGGGAGCGGTGCATGGAGGGCCATTGGCGCCGAGAGTGCAGGGTGCGAGCGCACCGGGCACCGCGTCTCTGGTTTCAGTAGCTTCTCTGCACCCAGAGCTCTCTGTGGACCGTGACTCATTCGTTTTGTTAGTGGTATTCTGGGTTTGTTTTGGATGTTTTGGTAAGAAATGGAATTCTCAAACCGCTTGGCTCCCTTAAGTAGATGGGGACAGGCGGAGCATGAACAGGGAAAGCTGAGAGGTGCCCCTTCCCCGGAAAGGGGCAGGGTGGGGACGTGGACTCCCCAGACGAGCTGGGCAGCGTGGGTTCCTGCCTCGGCCTGGCTCGTTGGGAGCTCCTTCCTCTGACCGCAGCTCCCTTCTCTCTCCTCAGCATGCCCCACGTCGTCCCCCAGCTTCTTGGAAGATGCCCGTAGTTACGTCAGAACCGAGTAAATGCAGTCAAACAAGGACATCAAAGTAGGCAGAGAGAGAGGTATCAATATGGCCGGGTGGTTCCTACAACCACAGTCCCCATTTTCAGCTCCTCTGTTATTTTATGAAGGATGAAGAGAACGTTCGTTCCAATTCTCATTTATATTCAATCTTCTCAACATGATTTAAATGATGCATGAGTAACCCTTCCAAAATCTTGAGCTAAAACAAAAGAGGTTCAACATGAAACTCCTTTCTTATTCTTCAGTGTCCACTGGAAAGGGGGTACGGGAGCAGGGAACCCAGCGTGCAAGCTTCTTCTAGATATTGCTGTGAGGTTTTCAGTTGAATTGTTGGTCTGTTTGCTTGCTTGCTTGTTTGGTGTTTGCTCCAGTGTTTGCCTCCAAGATGAATGGGGGTTGAAAAAAATAAGAAAGCAGGGGAGTCCTGGCGAAGGCAAGCGGCAGCCCCCAGCCCAGGCTCACGCATCGAGAGGAGATCACACCCAGCTGCGGCCCAGACCCTGAGGCAGGTGGAGCCGCGCTGTGCTCATGCCGCTCCGTCCTTGACTTCGGGACGCTTTCTGAAACTGTGGGTGTTACTTGTCCCGATGGAGAAAAGTCGCTTAATAATTAATGATAGTCCAAATGTACTTTTTGTCCTTTAAAAGCCATTTATATCTAGTTTATGATTATAAATTATTTATCTCTACTTTATTATCTTAATCAATATGTTCCTTTTAAACTGTTACTGCGCACTTTTATATTTACATTGATTAAATTATACCTATGTTACTGTGAAATTACTCACGAGGGAATGAAATGCTAGCCTTTGGGTCTGCATGTGTGAGAGATGCCCCAGTAACATGTCTAAAAATTGAAGTCACAACAACATACTTTCAGATCTATTTCCAGGGATCGCCATCTACACACGGTGGCAGGAAGTAGCAGACAGCTGCGTGGAGGGCACGTTCCCCAGCGTCAGCACTGGTTTAAGAGACTGCAGAACCTCAAAGAGACACGTCACGTAGAGTAAATTGAGAGCTGAAAAGGGGGCTATTTTACAGAAACGTAAAGACGTTTAGATAGTCCTCCAAGCCCTTCGTCTGTTTTTGTTTACATGAATGACTTAAGAAAAAGTCAATAAGACTTTAAAATTTTTTAAACCAGGCTTTTTTCTTTATATAAAATGAATTCAAAAGTAAAACATGTATTTTTCAACAATCACGATTGGCTTGATTAATACAATATTAATACAAAAATACTAAACCCCTAAGGAAATGCTAACCCCACAGTGTTCCCTGGACCAAGTCACACTAGTCACTGCCAATTGATAATCTGCGCAACTGGTTTTCAAAAACTGACTCAAACACAGGGTCTCACACGTCCAGGGTACGTGCGGTCTGAGCTTCGTCTTAGAACTATGTCTGGAGTTATTGTCTGCACATTTATGAACTGGGGTCAAGTCTGGGTGCAGAAGTAATTTCTGAGCAATGCCATTGCATCTCGGCCCCTGTCCCCTCCTACCCCTGCCCCCCCCCCCCGGCCCCGCAGAGCCGCGCGCCCCCGCACTGTGGCGCGGAGGTTCTCCGGCCGGTGCGTGGGCGGGCGCGCAGCCGCTTCTGGAGCGGCACGGTTGCGCGTCCCCGGCGGCGGGCAGGGTTTCCGCCCCTCGGGTCATTTGCTTGCAGTGCCTTCTGAGAGTGCATCCTGTTTTCAGAAAATCTCCGAATTGCCGGGCTGCCAGGGTCGCTGAGAGCGCCTTCCAGCACCGGTGGACCTGTGCCTTCCAGTGTCTGCGGTCAGAGCGCTCGCTCAGACACAGCCGCCGAGGGGCGGGACAGCCAGCCCGCGGCTGGAGTCCGCAGAGGGCCCGCGGGCCCCACGGGAGGTTTGCGCTCTGAGAAGGTCACTGCTGCACCCCGGTTCCCGCTGACTTCTTTGAGCTCATCATGTAACACACGGGAAGACAATGAAGAGTTCAGGGCGGGGTAGTCTTTTGTTCTCTTAGCGCAGAAAGGAAAATATTTTATGATTCATGGTTACAGTTATCAGGTCAAAAATCACCCGAAACTAGAGACCCACGCAAAAGCGTCCTGTCACAGCCTGTCCCCCTGCTGCCTGCTTTACTTGCTTTTTTTATCTATCAAGGTCTCTTCAGGGTGTGAAATGATCGCATTTGTCTTCAAGGGCAAAGAGCTCACTCTCCTGACACCTGTTGTCGCTTTTAGATCCCTCGAGAGCAGAAAAGAGAGAGAGCAAGTGTCCAACCCCAGGCTGCGATGGAACCGGCCACGTGACCGGGCTGTACCCGCATCATCGCAGCCTGTCCGGATGCCCGCACAAAGATAGGGTCCCTCCGGAAAGTAAGTCCTGCCGCCCGCCCCTTGCACGCACGCCGGCGGCGGCCTCCCTCATCTCCCTCGCCTTTGTCATTTCCATCTGCTCGAAGGGCGGCCCCCGCACGGGTGCGCTCGGGGGCCGACGGGCTCGAGACCTCGTCCTCCAGCGGGCAGCGTGTCCTCAGGGTCCTCCCTGCCGGGCCGGCCGCAGGATGGAGCACAGGCCCAGCCTCTCTGCCCCCTCGGGCAGGCCTGCAGCCAGGCCTGTTTCCTGAGGCCTCGGGCCGGGCCTGCCCTCCCAGCCTCCTCCCAGGCTGCGGAGCTGTGTGCAGACCGTCTGCACGCCGCCCCTCCGGCACGGAGCAGCTGTGAGCCCCCAAAAAGCTGCCGGGGGTCCTTCTGCCCGTCACCTGGGCCTCTGCACATATGTGAATCAGTATCTGTGTTTGAGTTTTCTTGCATTTTACTTGAAAGTCTGTTTCATATCACAGTTGTCCCAACATTTCTACACAATAAAATCTTAAATCCGGAGGTTATGGTGGGTGGGTTTGGATCCCACACATTTGTTTTAATCAGGTTTTAAATTTCTGAAACAACTAAATTTCCTTTAGAACTGAACCAAAGTGCACCTTTTCTGTCTTTCTCACAGCACACGAAGTGTGCCAACTATTTTCAAACAATCAGAACTGATTGTGCAGGAAAACAGCCAGTTCTCAGCAAGGACTGTGTGACTGTAAGACCTTGAGTCGGAGGGTCCCTCGTGTCTGAGACACAGCTGCTAGGCAGGAAGGTGGAGTGGCTGGGCTTGCGATAAGGCAAGAGGACCAGCTGACCGCCTGCTGGGGCCTCTGAGGCCTGTCCCATGAAAATGCTAACTCTGGGATACTCCAGAGGCAGATCCGTCGGAACCCAGAGAAGCTCAGAGCGGTTGAGGCTTAGAACACAGGCTTAGCCGAACATTTTCAGGTGAAATATACTGAGAAGCTGTTGTGGCTCCAGGTGTTCAAATGGCTGCTGAAAAGAACAAAGCCATGCTTCCTGCCCCCGTCCTGGGGGCAGGCGAGAGGGGCGTGGGCACCAGCGGCTCTGTCCCGTGTGTTACATGACCAGGGAGACCGCATGCGTGGCCGCCACAGCTGCCCCCGAGCCCGGCGCTCCGCTCGCACGCAGCCCACACTCCTCCAACCCCCTCCAGGCCCCATGCCCGCAGTGCCCACTAACGGCCCATTTTCAGATGAGGAAAACGGGGCGCAGACCTGTCGCTGCCGTGCCAGGCTTAGCAGAGGGCCCGCCTAGGGGAAGACACTCGGTCCTTTCCAAACCGGTGTGAGAAGGCGCACGCTGGCCCGGGGCCGGGCCCGCGCCCTCTGGTCCCGAGCCTGCTGAGACGGGGCCGTCTCCTGCTAACCCGCCTGGGGCCGTGGGCGTGGCACGCACTCTCTGCGCGTGGTTTTCCTCGCCTGCAAAATGAGCATGAGGGCCACGCGCTGATGTCTTAAGAGAAGTAGCAACCTTATGCCATTTCTCTTTAAGGCGCTTATTTCGCCTTGAAAATAGATCAGTTTCTTCTCATGGCTGGTGAATTCTCCTGGCTCCATGTTCTCACAGGGAAAGGCTAAGGGCAGCAGAAACAGGGACTGTGCTCCCACAAGTCGCTCGTTGAGCAGGCTCATGCGGACCACCCCTGGCCTCACCTGGGCCAGGCCTGTGGGGGCTCGGCTCCCCCACTGACCGGGCCACAGCCGCCTCCCCAGGGTTTGCTCACATAAAGCTCTTTGCGACGCCCTACAAATGGGAGGCTGTCACACTCCAGGTGACGTCCGTGGTCTGCGGCCCCCGTCAGCCTTGCCCAGTGTGCGAGACGAGGCCGCGCGGCTCCCCAAGACCCCTCTGGTCCTCTGAGAGCCCTGCGTGCACAGAGCGAGCGCCCCCAAGGCAGGCACGACCTTTGAGGACACGACCCTGGGGCGACGGCCTCCCCACTTCAGCCCGTCTGGCCCTGGAGCGGCCCGTGCTAGGGGCCGGGCCCGACGGAGGCCAGCAGCGGAGACAGGACAGCTGGGGCATGCCCAGGGGCATCCCCGAGACGGGCCGGCAGGGCTGGGCGACTGGCCCCGGGAGAGGGGGACGCAGGCGAGGGAGGACGGCGCGCTGGGCGCCTCGGGGCGCAGCCAGGCGGTAACAGCGAGAGGCCACGTCTGCCCTGAGACGGGGCTCTGCCCAGCCCTCCCAGCAGGCGGCTAGGAGGCAGGCCGTGGGGACGGTCGGTGCGCAGGGGCCCTCTGCGCTGCGCTCGCAGACACTGAGTGAAGTGGCCCAGACAGGAGCCACCGGTGGGAGGTTAGGACATAAGCATGTCCGGAGGTGGAGCGCAGGCTGAGAGGCAGGCAGAGCGGCCAGAGGGACACACCAGGGACCGGGAGAGGACGGCATTTCCACCGGGTCCCACAGGCGAGGGGACACCTGAGGTCTGGAGAGGTCCACGAGAAAGTCAGGAGAGCGTGGTGAAGGACGGACGGTCCGTGTGGTCCGGAGGCAGAGGCAGCGCAGACTCGGGATGTGGCGGGGGCCCCGTCGCTCGGCGGGGGACAGAGGCGCCGTCACGTTGAGGTCTGCACCACAGACACGCGTGAAGGGGCCGGCTGCCTGCGGGGACATGGAGCACAGAGGAAGGAGGGGTGTAGCTCTGAGAGCACTTGTGTCACGGGAAGGGCTTGTGTGACGTTATAACGGGGTGACAAGAAAGGAGGAGAGTGCAGCACGGTCAACGCGGGTAGAGCAGGACCCTGCAGGCAGGGGAAGAGGACAGGTAGGGGCGCAGGTGAAGAGCTCGCCTGGGAACGAGGGCCCCTGCCTGCTCCGCGCTGGGCAGGGACCCAGGGAGCGGCGCCCAGGTCCGCCGGGAGGAAGGCCTTCTAGCCGTGCCCCCCACGGAGTGAGCCGGCCTGGCTCCGCGCGCGTTGTTTGACCCCCACGGGTTCCGCTGCGGGCGCTGCCCCGGAGCGAGGAGGTGAGGGGTGGGCTCAGGCAGCAGGGGCATCGCGGGGACAGCGTGCAGGTCACGCACGCTTCGGGAAGGGGGGATTGCTCCAGAGGGGAGGAGGCTGTAGAAAATAGAATTGAGTGACCCGTTTGGGCAGACCATGGGGAGGAGCTTTCCTGTGCACCTGCGCCAGGCGACCCCGCTCACAGGGAGGGCCCAGCGCGTCCCGGCCACGCTGCTCCCGGCGGTGGTGGCCGCTTGTGCTGGGGCCCGCGCTGTGGGTTGCTTCTCCTGTCCGCCCACCTTCACCGCTTGTACCCATCGCCTTTCCCTGCAGCCCAGAGCAGCGGCCTGTTCGCCGGGGAAAGAGGCCCCGGGCTCCACGGGTAGCGAGCGCGAGCGCGCCCGCCGGACGCAGGCTGGCCCCGCCCAGTGCACACGGCCGCCGTGTGGCCGGCCCACTGGCCCGCAGGCTTAGCTGCGCAGCACGGACTATTCCAGATGGAAAGTCATCATTTAATTCATTTTATTTAAAAATAAGGTTTGTGGTTCTCTCTTTACCCATGACCACCATGCCTTCGTGATGCTGCGTGTTTTTGAAGCAGCCGCACGGGCTTTGGTGTAGGATCGAGAGAGGGGCCCTTGCGCCCCTACCCCACAAGGACCAGCGTGGTCCTCACAGCCCACCCTCCGGCTCTGCACAGGGCGCCCCGGGTTGCATGCCGCTAGGACGGGGCGGAGACATGTTTTCCTGACCACGCCCATCTCGCACGTCTGCGGGCCGGGTGCCATCTGAGAGCCCGTCGCTAGCGCAGCGGCGCTCTCCCTTGTCTGGCCTGCCCCTGTGGTTAATGCCTCACTGTTTTCTCTGCCTCTCCTGTCAAGTTCTTGCCATGCACGAGAACGTTCTCAAGTGTCCTACTCCGGGCTGCACAGGGCGAGGGCACGTAAACAGCAACAGGAACTCTCACCGGAGGTAAGCCCCACACGCCGCGCCGCGCCCCGCCTGCAGGGAGGGCCTCGGAAGGCCGCACGCCTCCTGCCTGCCCCGAGGACGGAGCCTGTGGCTCCCTGGCTCACGGGGCTCAGATGCGCAGGTCCCTTTTCCACAGATGGGGCTTTTAGTTGTCTGACCCACTCGAAGGTGCCATTCTAGGGGTGACATCCAAGATGGAACTGGTACCGTCGGTGGCATCTGGAAGGAACACAGTAAAGGCTCCCTTGTCCCCCAGGGAGCAGAAGGGGCTATGTCCCACGCACCAGGCACGGCGGGACTTAGAGCGCAGGGAGGTTGTATAGTGTATGATGCAGCCTGGCTGCCCCCAGACTCTGCCGGGGCCGTCGCCGGCGTGGACCTCACCAGACAGGAGCAGGTGTCAGGAACGGGTGGTGTGGACAGCGCCAGGCGGCTAGACCTGCCCGGGCCCACTGTCGCCCCTGCCCCGCGCTCTGGGCAAATCCCCGTCTCTTCCTCCTTCATCCGACCTCTACTGCGTCGCCTGCAGCCCAGTCGGACCCTTTGGTGCAGAAAGCACTTCTGGCACAATGTGCCTCCCAGCCCCAGCTCAGCCTCGCAGCTCCTGTAAAACCGCCTCTAAACGGAACTGCCCTGAGCGGCACTTGAGGCCTCACTTTCCTGACTGCAAATTCAGTTACTTGTGTTAAACATATGGAAACGAGTAGCGGCCCCCCCTTGCCGAGCCCCCCTTGCTGAGCCCCCCGTGCCGAGCTCCGGGGAGCGGCCTGGGCTTGTGCTGCAGAAGGCGGGGAGGGTCGTGTCGGGCACAATTCGATGGCATGTTCCCACACCAGCTCCTCTGTCCCACCTTCATGTAGCCACACGCACACAGGCCGAGGGCCACGTGTGCCTGCACTCCGTGGGCCTGTGGTGCCATGAAAACGGCAGGCACCGCGGCTGTAGAGGAGCAGATGCGGGGGCTCGTCCACAAGGGCTCGGCTCCAAAGCGGCTCCGGGTAGCCCCGGAGAGGGCCCCGCCCACCTCCGCCTCTCCCGGGGGAGGGCCGGCCGCGCGGTGGCCAGCGGGGCTCCCAGGGGCGGCCCGGACTCCGTCTCTGGAGCCAGCCAGAGCCCCCCTCGCTCAGACACAGCCCCCTCCCACCGCTGCGGTGAGCCCCTCCTCTCCGGAACAGTGCACGCCCCAGAACGAGCCTCTGTCCCACGTTGTCACTGGCTCACACCCTCTCGAGCGTCACCGAACTCATTAGCTGCCGCTGGGAAGGATGGAGTGCACTTTGCCAGGGCGTGGCCGGCAGCACCGCCTGCCGGGGGTAGGAGCCAGCACGCCTGCTCTCCCGTCTGTGCCGTCGGGAGGGCCAGCTCGGTTTGGGAAACGGGTCCCCACCCTTGCCTGGGGTCTGGCTGTGCGGATGGGGGAGGGCCGGCGCCCGGGTCTGCGGGCTGCAGGGCCGCAGGGGAGGACAGCTGACCTCAGTCTGTCGTTGCAGCCTCTCTGGATGCCCTATCGCCGCAGCGGAGAAGCTGGCAAAGGCCCAGGAAAAACACCAGAGCTGCGACGTGTCCAAGTCCAACCAGGCCTCAGACCGCGTGCTAAGGTACCAGCTCAGCGTGCGCCCGCCTCGTGGGCTCCGTCTGCAGGCAGCTCCTGCAGAGGTGATGGTCACGCTCAAAGACAGGCTGAAGCTAAAGGCCGCAGTGCTGGGGGCGAGATCCAGTCTGTCCTCGCCCCCCGGCAGGGCCACGGGCGGCGGGAGGCAACTTCACCTCCCTGGGCCTCCCTGTAAGTTTTTGAATGAGAGAGAGGTGGGCGGCCTTGTTTGGTTTTCTTTCTGGTATTTCATGATTCAACAAATGCCACGTGAGGGGCAAGCGCCACGCGTCAATGAGGTGCCCGGAGCAAGTGTGTCGCGAGCCGGTTGAGAGGCTGGAGCACCGACCCGCACGACTGTTTGGAGGCGTTTGGAAAGGTCGGCGATGGCAGCCCCACGCAGAGCCTTCCCACAGGGCCTCGGGGCTGCTGCCCCTCCAGACCGCAGGGCAGAGCAGGGGGCTTCCCTGTCCCCCGATGTCATCCCGGGGATCAACCGGGAGAGGCCTCAGAGGTGATCAGGGTCTGCCCACCGGGTTCCAAGCTCAGAACAGAGGGGAAGGCAGAGGAACCCCCAGCCCTGACATCAGCTCTCGTTGCTGCACATCCCTCGGCCCTTCGTCCTGGGGGCGCCACACTCATCACCGTCTATCCTGCCTTCCCAGCTCCCGGCACGCTGGCAGCGTGCCTCCCTGTCCCCTGCCTCCCTGGGTCCCCTGGAGACTCCACCGCGGGGGACATCGCCCCTGCCGGCACCGGGTGCTGACACGGAGCCTTTGCCAGGGGCCCCACTTTTTCGTGAAAGACAGAGAAATAAGCACACACGCGTATGCAGCCTTGCTTCTGTTGAATCGCCTCCTGGGGACGAGTCGCCTGGCGGTGCCTCCCTTTTGGGTTCTGTTGGGCTCACGTCACAGGTCGCGGGAGGGTGCCCCCACAGCCCCGGCACCCCCTTTCGCCCCCCAGTAGAAAAGCCACTGTCTTTGCAGAAAGTGAGAAATATTTCAATAGACAAAAATAAGAAAAGCCATCTACAGCCCTAGCGCTCAGAGAGTCCCTTAGCTGGAGCCGGTGTGCATTCTTCTGGATTGTTCTCTCCGTGGGCAGTGCCAGTCCGGCACCCGCAGGGCGCCTGTGACTCGCTCGGCTCACGGGAGGTGAGCCTGGCAAGCGCACGACGGGCCTGCCAGGGCGCTCCCCGGCCGGCTGCCGGCAGGCGGCACGGGACCCGCAAGAGCCCCTCGGGCTGTGCACATGCAGGGTTTGAGGGAAGGTGGGGGGCTGGGGGGCTGCCGTTCACCTCCTCCGCCCTCTGAGGCTAGGCCCCAGAGGGCCGGCAGGAGCCCCACCTCACCCCTTCCTGAAAAGCCACCAGGCCACCAGCCCCTCCGGGCCAGCACCGAGCCTGCATTGCGGCAGGAAGCTCTGTGGGCAGCCGGGGACGGACAAGATCCATTCGTAATTGCAAATGTCACCTTGTTCAGACAGAAACCTGAAGCAACAGCATTTTGCCTGGTTTCTGTGGCTTCATAGTTGCCGGTCCCTTCCTTTTGGCAGACACGGTGGAGTCACGCATTCAGTGACAGCAAAACAAGGCCAGGAGCCAGCAGTTGTGCACCTGCAGGTCCCTTCCAGGCTCAGTGGGTGTGGGGGAGGGTGTCAACCCGAAAACGACCCCGTGCAGCCAGGCCAAGGGGCGCGGCGCCCTGCGGGCAGCTTAAGCCCGGCCAGCCCTTCAGCCTCCTCTCAGCCCTTCAGCCCTCCGCCCGCCCCCCGCCCCCCCCCGCCACCGCAGACCGGCGCGCCCCTTACGAGCGAGGCGGGAGGGTGCCCTCCGTCTGTCCCCGTACGTCCGTCCCCACGGTGTCACCGCGCAAGGGCTGCTCACGCAGCAGGGCGAGGGCGGAGGCGGGGTGGAAGGAAGAAGACAGAGAATGTAAACCTACACCCATTCAACTAAGTGTGATGTTTTTTAAGTCTGTAAGTAAATTTTCCAACAAGAATTTAAGACTTGAGTAGGTGCGTCCAGGCCTTTCCAGATATTTCACCTCCTCTGCGGCCCCTGGCTCAGGCCCCACCTGCCTCCCCTCTGTCCCCAGGACGGCCCCCCGCCCCTTCCCTGGGGCCTGGGCCCCATCCACCCTCTCTGAGCGGCCCCGCCCAGCCCCTTGGCCGGCCCGGGAGGCCGCACGCCACGTCCTGCTGCTGCGCCTGGAGGAGGAGCACCCTGGCCACCGCCCTGGGTGTCGCTGTTCGTGATGTCACGCATTCTGCAAAGCCAGCACCAACCGCTCCATCAAAACAGAGCTGAATCTCACAGCCCGAAGTGACCTCTCTTCCCCAGAGTCCCAGCAGTGCTTGGGCTCTTAAAATAGCGTCAGACACACAGACACGCGCACAAAATAATATCCTAGTGTACGTGACCTTGGCGGCAAAACCAGCTGTTTTATTCATTTAGGCGGCCACCCCCGTACTGCCTGGTAGATGCCTCAAATAATAGATATTCAGCTGGTCGCTACCTGGGTTTGTGGATTTGACAAGTAAACAAGCTGAGTTCGTGACATCAAAGTAAATGCCCTGATGATTTGGCGAATAGAGGTGTTGACCAAAGGGGAAGTTGAGTGAAGGGTCCAACTTTTCTGTAAGTCTTAAGTTGTTTCCAAAAAGCGGTTAAAAATTGCATCTGTTAGACAGAGAGCTAGCTGGGCACACGCACAGGACACAAAGAAGAATCTTAGTGAACGGGGAATAACTGAGGGCTCCTCCACGTAAATGACTTATTCCAACATCCAGCAAAATGAATGACTTCTAGGCAAGGAGACTGAAAGCGTATGCTGATGTTGGTCGAAACATGTCATCGCAGGTCCATTCTAACGTCCAGACGGATGAACCTGCGTCTAGTTCCGTCCCGGTCTAAGTCCCTGGGAGCATCTCTTCTGTGTCTTCTTACTTTTAAGGGACACTAGCTCCTCAGCTTCCTCCATTCTCTTGTACTGTTTGATCTTTGGAAAAGAAAACACGGAGCCTCCTGCCCTCCTCTGCTCTCCTCACCAAACCCCCCAGGCCCTGAAAAGAGCGCTAAAAGGGGGAAAAGTTACATCGTTTATTTTTGTTTTTTTTCCTGCTGAAGTTGACATTTAGGCAGCTAGTTCATTTGGATCATACGTAATTACAGGAACCTCGGGCTTTTCTTGGGGAAGTAGAGCTGTGATTGTGGCGCAGGCCCAAGCCCCCGCTGCAGCCAGAAGCGCGCCGCTCGGGCTCTGCCGCGGCCCCGTCCACACCGCGGGAGAGCCGGCTGCCGACCGTTTCTCGTTTGCTTGCAGGCCAATGTGCTTCGTAAAGCAGCTCGAGATCCCTCACTACGGCTACAGAAACAGCGTCCCCACCACCACGCCGCGCTCCAACCTGGCCAAAGAGCTGGAGAAGTACTCCAAGGCCTCGTTCGAGTACGGCAGCTACGACAGCCAGGCTTACGGCAAGCGGGCCATAGCTCCCAAGGTGCAAACCCGGGACCTATCCCCCAAAGGATGCGATGGTAGGAGGTGCACACTCTTATACACGGGAGTCGCGCTTGCCGTTGATGATGTTGTTGTTGTGTGTGCCCGTTTCCTACAAGCCGGCCAAGCATGTGGTCCTCGCCGGGTCCCAGAGAGCAGCGCGCGCCGTGGGGGTCCTTTGGCTGACAGCGAGGGTCCATGGGGTGGGGAGCGGGGCCCGCAGTGTGGACAGAGAGCTGTGCTTGTCCGCTTCCTGCCATGGCTGGGACCGGGTCCTCACCTCTGTAAACGTCCTCGAACAGGGGGCCCGGCTAGAGCAGCCGTGACGGCTGGCGGCAGCGGCCCCGAGTCCTTGGCAGTTTGGGGGAGGTCTGCACCCGCCCCCCCGGCACCGCGCTCAGCCCTGGGTGCACACCAGAGCCGCCGGGGGACATCTGAAATTCTAGTGCTCAGGCTGCACCCCACGCCCAGCACACCAGACCCCCGGGCCCCCATGCGGCGGCCCTTCCCGAGGCCCCGCGGCTCTCCCGTGCCGCTGAGGGCGGGGCCTGCGCTGCCGTCCCCCGCGCCCCGTCCCCCGCGCCCCGTCCCCTCCGGCAGGCACGGGCCCTGGTCCGCTCTCCCGCGGGCAGGCCCTGCTGGGACGCGCCTTTGTCGTGGGCCCCACTCGGAGCCAGCCCAGCATCCGCCAGCGAAGCAGAGCTGAGGGGTCACACTGAGCCCGGTGCCCCCCGGACAGGCCCGTCCGAGCCCCTCCTTGGGGGGGGGTGGCTGTGACCTGGCCGTGTCCTCTCAGAGTCCCGGGTCGGTGGGGCTGCAGGGGAGGCCGCGCTTCTTAGACTTGACTGACTGACCCAGCCACGGCCACGCTTTAACGTCTGGGTTCCAGGGACCTAGTTGGCGAGTTTTACTGACGGGATGTGGTTGCATAACTTCTGATGGTTTAAAGTCCTGTCTCTGGTGAAGGCAAGGAGATAGTTTTTTAAAGATCTTCGTGCTCCTCTCTGAAAAAAATACTTAAAATCACAACACACCAAAAGTTCATTTAAATTGAATGTTTGGGGAGTTCAGAAACCTTTTCATAGCTCAACATGAGTAGCTTTTTCTAGGTTCCATTAGTCATTCCTTGCCTTAATAACAATTAATTTCTGTAGTGAATAGAATTTAATATTTCTTTGATATATTAAATATTGATTAATCCTTGCATGTATCAGTTCTTAATATATTGGAACAAAGATGTAAATAGAAAAAAAAGTGGCCTACAATACAACAGAAAATAATTTTTTTGTTTATTTTGTAGTCATAATTTGCCACTTTCAGGTTTTGCTATTTCGTTCATTTGATTGCAAACGAAGGGTCAAAAGAACTGAACCCATGAACTAGAGGGTCCTGCCGACGCCGCCTCTGGTGTGTGGACGTTGTGCAGCGATGCAACAGGGCCTTCGACCGGCGGCTCCCGCCCCCGCGCCCGGTCGTCGCCGCTGCTCTCGCTGTCCTGGCAGGGCTGCCGGCGAGGCCGTGGTGCGTGGAGCGTGTCTTTGGGGCGGCGGGGCCTCGGGGGGATTAGGAGCCAGACCTGCTGGGGCCTGTCCTCAGCGCCCCGGCGGGTGCGGTGGGCGCGGTGGGCGCGGGGGCGCGTCCCGTGTGTCCGTGCCCACGGCACTGCGGGGGGCGGCCGGGGACGCCTCTGAAGAGGCGGACAGACATTGTGTTAAGTATTAGCGTTAATTTTCGCTGCCCAGAAAAAAATACCCGTTGTCAGATCTGAGCCCGGGCAGAGCGGTGCTGTTCAGCTGGCCCTCGAGAAAACAAGAATATAGAGAAATACACTTTCACAGGAAAACCACTGGGTCTCCAGGAACGTAAGAAAACAGGACAGAGGCCCCCTGGAGCACTAAGCGTTTCCTGGAAAGACCGGGGCCCCATTTCTCTTCCCCCGGACTTGCCGGCGGACCTCGGAAGCGCCCGGGGAGCCGCCCGCGACGGCTGCGCCGCCGGGCCAGGCCTGGGCTGGGGGTGGGCGGGGAAGAGCTGGAGGCAGCACGGGGGCCTGCCGTCAGCGGTCATCCGCCAAGAGCCTGCCCCCGAGCCTTGCTCTCCCTAGAGCGAGGGATCTGGCACAAGCGGTCCAGCCGTCGCTCCTTAAAAGAGACAGTGAAATAAGCCTGCTGTGCGGGGCGCGGGGGCGGGGGCGGTGCCTGAGAGCAAGGGGCAGCGCGGGGGGCTGCCGGAGGGGCAGGGAAGGGGGCCCCCATCTACTCGGTGCCAGGAAGGCCGGACCCGCAGGAGCGGCGCCCCCAGCACAGGGAGGCAGCCCCCTGCGCCCTCCCGGACACACACTCGGCGCCGGCTGAAGGGCGGCCCCGCCTGCCTGCCTGCCTGTCCACCCGGTTGTGCCTCCGTCCGTCCCCCACCCGCCTCCCTTGCCCACCGCTCCTTCACCCACCACCCCTCCCGCCCAGCTGTCTTCCCATCCGTCTGCGTGTTCATCTACCTGTCGGCCTATCTATCACCTCTCTGTTCTTCCCTCTTGGTAACAAGTTTCAGGGGAGGAAATGTGATTCGGTAGAAGACAGATAAAGACATGCTTGGCGCGCGGCAAATGGGAGGCGGGGCGTGAAGCAGAGCAGACACTACAGGCGGGGGACGGGGGGGGGGAGCGGGGAGGAAAGAGAGAGAAACAGGCCCCGAGACCTGTGGGTCCGCGGGGACTGCCTGTGGGCTGGGGGGGCCGCACTCGCCGCCCATCAGAGGAGGGACAGGGCGGGGGCGACCCCGCAAATGGGGAGACACGGCCCTGACGTCCACGGGCAGGAAGTGGGCACGAGGGGAGAGAGCAGGGGGCTCGAAACGGGCCCCACCCCTGCCCCCTCCGCGGGCGCCCGGCCGGCGCCCCTCCCCGGCCCCAGCACAGCCTGCTCCCCTGGGGAGCTGAGAGCCGCTCTTCCAGCTTCAGGTACTTGGAAAAAATGACAGAAGGTCTTGTGATGTAAAAACGACGTGAAACTCACATTTCACTGTTCACAAGGTAACCCCCCCCCCCCGCCCCGCTCACTGGGCTGCAGAGCTGAGTGGCTCCGGCAGAGGCTGAGCCACTGGCACTGTCTCTCTGGGCAGGTGGCCCGCCCCTCGGGGTTGTTACGGACCCTCAGTGCAGAGCCCCCAAATGGCCATTCGCAACCTCTCAGTCCTCCTGACCTTAGAACCCTTTCTTCTCCTTCGCCCCCGCCCCCTCCCGTCTCCTGCCCTGCCCTGGGCCCGGGCCCCGTTGGTGGGCGGGGGTCTCAGGGACCCACTCAGGCGGTCCCTTCCTCCCCTGGGCCCTCACCAGTCCCGGGCTGGGCCTCCTCGCCCTCCGCACCCGGCCCCCACCAGCCTCTCGCTGGACGCGGCCCTCCTGCTCCCCAGGCAGGCGCGGCGCAGCGGCCTCACTCCCGCGGGCCTGTGTCGGACGTGAGGCCCACGCGGTCCCGCAGGCAGCTCCGGGCCTCCTCCCTGGTGACGCCCCACGCCTTGCCTTCCCGCTGGGCCGTGAGCTCCTGGGGCGTAAAGGGCCTTGTGTTCAGGTTCTCACCTGGTGGCACCCGGGCTGGGCGGGAAGCCTGTAGCCGGCAAGGTGCTGACGGGCGGGGGGAGAGAAGAGGGAGCGGAGGAGGGGAAGGGAGGAGGAACGCCAAGGACCCTCCTGGCGTCAGACGCGGTGAACCTGCGAGGAGGCGACCCACCCGCTGGTGTCGGCTGACAGGGCAGCCTACGGGAAGGCCCCCGGCCGGGCCGGGCTCCCCCCGGGGAACAGCACAGAGGGGTGACCCACGGTGGGGGCGGGGCGGAGGTGACCGGAGGCCTGGTGGGAGTAACGGTCAGGGGCATGTCTGTGTGCTGGGCCCCTTTCTGCCTGGTTTTCGTGGACGTTCAGAATGTGAGGACATGCTTATCAGCTCCGAAGAGCAGCGGTTTTCAGCCTCTTTCATCTCGTGGCACACAGGCTACTTACTAAAATTTTGCAGCTCACCAAAAATGGGTGTCATTTTGATTCATTTACACCAGGCAGCTATTGTTGTGCTGGCTGCTGTCACTTTTTATCTGACAGCCTAAGGGACACGAGGTGAGTGCCCGCCTGTAGAAGTCGGGGACTGGAAGTCGGGGACCGCGCCTTCTCGCGTCCTGGCCCCACCAGGCGCCCATTCGCACAGAGCGGAGCGCACACTTCCGCGAGGAGGGCACGCGCAGCCGCAAGACTCTGAGGAGCAGGCGGTTCAGAAGCTGGTCCTCGTGACAGGTTTTGCTTGGTTTGGTTTTATGGATCGTATTGAATCCGAACGAGTATCACGCGGCTTCCCTTTCTCTGGCAAGAGCGGCCAGCGCTCTGAGGGGCACTTCCCAGTGGGCCGCGGGCCCTGCTGTGGGCCGGACCGGGAAGGCGTGGCCTGCAGCGCCGCGGGAGCCTGGGGACACGCTGGCACCTGGAAGGACGCTAAGGGACTCCTGGCTGCCGGCTGCTTGGAGACAGCTCCGCTGCCAAAAGAAACGCCCCCGCCCTTTGTCGCGGTGCTGGCGCTCCCCGCCCGCCCGCCCGGAGGGGCTCCCTCTGCGGGGAGGCGGCCATCCCCAGCGTTGCGGCTCTGCGGCGCCCTCTGGTGTCCGCACAGCGTGGCCGTAGCTCCCTGCGCTAGGGTTTTGGAAATGTTTCACAGATAATGTTGGGACCCAAGGCCTTCATGCCCGAAAGGTTTGAAGTTCGAAGATGCTCACTTGCATTTGGAACAAAACATTTAGTGGAAGGACCCACCTGCCTGAGTCGCATCCAGAACGTGGGAGCGTGCGTCCTCCCTGGCCCTCCCCGGGCGCCCGGCGCCACGGTCTGTGCGTGCGGTTTGGGGAGCAGCACCCTGAACCAGAGCTGGCTGCGCTCCGTTGCTGGACACGTGGTGTCCTGCCTACTTTAGAGATTGAAATGCACCCCTTTCTAAACACATCCGCTGTTTGTCTTATTGCCGTGGCCTGTTTTTTCCTGAGCTAGTGGCGAGTCCTCACAAGGAAGAAAACATCCCTTCTAAGTATTATTTTATTTCCCCCAGGATGTTCATATTCCTACTTTTATTACAAATAAGTGAGTTGTGTTCACCTACAAACTCCCACACGTGAGGACGTCGCACGCTGTGCGCTGGCACCGCCGACCCGCCGGGTCGCGGAGGCCGGGGCTCCGTCCTGACTGCCGGGCTCCCCGCGCCCCTCGGCCCCGCCCCCGGCCCCTGCGCTCAGAGCCGAGCACCCCCACCCCGGGCCGTGCGCTGCGGACCAGAGGCTGGTTCGCAGAGGACGCAGGCGGGAGGCCCCCCGGCCCTGCCCACCAAGGGCGTGGTGACGGGCCCCCAGGGCTGCGCGCACTCAGGTGGGCAGCGTGGAGGTGACTCTCTGCACGTCACTCCCCCTCGCGGGGTTAAGGGTGGGCTGGGCCCGCCGGTCCCTGCGAGGGAGCCTGGCCCTGAAGGTGAGCCGTCTGTGCGGCGGGCGGCGGGCTCCTGAGGGCGGCGGGCCAGGTGGGGACAGTGAGCGCCGCTGCGGCCTCGGGGGCACGGGCTTCAGGGCAGGCCCGAAAGCCATCGGTCGTGAGGCCTTGGTTCTTGCTCCGTCTGCGTCCGAGTCGGGCCCTTCAGGGTGAGAACTTGGCATCGCTCATGACGACGGACGGACCCCATTGGCCGTGCGATGTTGAATTTGTCGCTTCTCCCAGTTTTGCCTGCCGCTGCCGCTGGCGGAAAGCGCTGTGCCGGTCCTCCTCGGGGCGGGGCTCAGGCCGCGGACCCGCTAGTGGCAGTCGGGGGACACGCGTGAGGGCGGGGCAGGCTGCAGGCCCCCTCCCGCTGTTGCAGGGGTGCAGGTGGAGTGTGCGCTCCGGGCTCGGCGGCACCCCGCCCCTCACCCCCGCGCCAGCCCTGCTGCCCCTCGGGCCCACGCGGGGAGCCCCGAGCGCACTCTGGGAAGGCGCCAGAGACACCTGTGCGTCCCAACAGGCCCCTCTCTGGGGGAGTGCGGGACACGCGGGGGAGGTGTTTTCTGGGGTTCGCCTGGAGCGGCCCCGCTCCCGGGACTCGGGGAGAAGCCTGACCCCCGCGGCACGGAGAACCCTGGCGGTGCGGCCGGCCGTCCTCGCGCCTCGCCCGTCAGGCAGCTCCATCGGTGCCGGAGGGGCTCACGGCAGCCGGGGCCCTGCCCGCCCCCGGGCCCGGGCCTTCGGGCCGCGGGAGGGCCAGCTGCTCAGCAGGGAACCTGGGGGTGGTGCTCTGCACCCAGGCAGCGGCCCCGGTGCACCTGGTTCTCTCGGGCTCCCGAGTCCGCAGGTGCAAGTCTCCCCGTGAGCATCGCCCTTTTACCCGCATGGCTCCTTGGTAGAATCCGGGAGGACATATCTTGAGGAAAGGGGTGTTCTGGTCACACTGTCTGGTGTGCACGCCTAGCCTGAAGGCCGCTTCCCAAGGCGCAGGTCCCCGCGGGCCTCCCAGGCGGCCCAGGGCCTGTGCAGATGTTATCCTGCACGTGGACAGTGAGCCCCTCCTGGTGAGAGGGAGCGGCTAGTCTCGTGAGCCCTGAGCAGTCTGCGGGTCCCTGTCACTGCCGCCCGCCCCCGCCAGCACCTGAGTCCTGAGCAGTGTGACTCACAGGGTGGCGGGTGCGTCCGGCCCCCCCGACGCGCCCCGTGTTCTGGGAGGCGGGCGAGCGGGCTCCTCCGTGTGAGTGAGCCACGGGCCCCGCGCCCTCCATGCGATGTGTGTCTGCGCGCACGGCTGGCGGGAGGCGTGGGAGGTGGGCGCCGGGCGCGGCGGGGACCCGAGTCACCCCTGCCCTGTCTCCCCAGCGAAGCGGCTCTGCAAGGACGGCAGCCCTAGCAGCAGCGCCGCCAGCAGCTACGCGCCCAGCAGCAGCAGCCTGAGCTGTGGGGGCGGCGGCAGCAGCGCCAGCAGCACCTGCAGCAAGAGCAGCTTCGACTACACACACGACGTGGAGGCGGCACATATGGCGGCCACCGCCATCCTCAACCTGTCCACGCGCTGCCGCGAGATGCCGCAGAACCTGCCCGCCAAGCCACAGGGCCTGTGTGCCGCCCGGGTATGCCCGCCTGGCGGGGCCCCACTCCCCCTGAGGCCACACTGCCCCCGGGACACAGAGCAGCAGCGATGTGACCCCAGGGTCTCCCTGAGCATCCTTTCTAGTCGAAGGACACACAGTCCTGCTGAGAAGTGGCCACGATCGCTGCCCATCAGTGAGCGTGTCCCCTTTGAGACCCAGACTCACTTCTGGAAACAAATGGCACTAGAAACCTGAAGGAGCAGCACGCGTTGAACCTTGAACGTGAGGCAGGCTGTCAAATGCAGGGCAGGACTGCCCCTCTCCACACTCCCAGCAGCCCTCCGGAGCTAGGGGTCAGAGGCAGCGCCCGCCCGCCCTCCGCAGGGACCGCACACCTGGCCGGCCGTGGGCTCCCATCAGCTTGGCCCCACCACCCCGTGGTGGCGCCGAGGCCGGAGAGCAGGTCAGGCGGCAGCGCGGAGAGTGGACTCGCAAGGCCTCTGGGGGGCCAGGGTCACAGGTGCCGCGCTCAGAGGACATGTGCGTGGGCAGGCGGGCGTCCCCTCCCCTCCAGGAAACAAAGGTGCCCGTCCATTACCGAGCGCCGCTCGGGCGTGCGCCGCGGCCTCGCCCCGCCAGCAGCAGTTATGAATAAGGGTGATTTGTAGGATGGGAGAAAGGTCAGTAATTTCATGTTCTGCAAATGCATTTCTCCTATTACTATTTTTACTCCTAGATTTTGGGAAGGATCAGGGGCAGGCAGTTTCCATGGTGACCAGGGCTGCTAAATGCGAGGCTGCCACGGGGGAGGGTCTATTGCAAGGAAAAAAAAGACCACGAGCCCTTATAATTTTTTTCACTTTATTAAAATTAAACTAAGACTGAGAGAATTAAATCTAACACCATGAAGGCTAAATTAGTATGAAAGCTTGAGATCAGGAGTGCATTTTGACAAAAGAGTTGAGACAGAATAATACTCTATAATTTATCAAGCTAACAGCCCGAAGGATGGGATTTTCATTCCAAGCATCTTCCTGCTGCTCTTCTGTCCGAGGGAAGAGCTGCCAGGCACCTGAGCCGGCGGCGGCGTTCCCGCCGGCTCCGAATCCCGCGTCCGCGGGGCTCCCGGGACCGTGGGCATCCTGATCGCCCTTCCTTCTCCTTCACGCGTCCTTCCCTCCCCCTCCTCCTGAGAGGTGTGTTCTCAGGAATCCTTGATGTGTTTCAAGGCACCTTCAGACAAAAAGGGAGCTCTCCCTGGACCTCTTTGTTTTTAAACCAGTCGACTGGATCACAGGTTTGCTGAACTCAGCGCAGGTCAGGCCGTGACCTTGGCGGCAGTGGCCTGGGGACACAGGGTGGCCCTGCAGCCTTTCTGATGATGAACAAGCCCCTTCACTGGCCAGTTCTCGCTCCTCCTCCCTCCACCCCCAATTCTTTTGTCTTCTTCCTCTGCAAGCCTTTATCTAGCACCGATGAAACCAAAGGAGAATTTTTAAATACATATCCACTTCGAGAATATATAATTGTAGGGATAAATATGTATTCTGTACACACACACACATCATAATTCTGATCTCTTAATAGGTATTAGGAGTGGAATGGAATTGAAATTAGGCACGTGTTTGATTTTCTTCTGGCCATGCTTACTTCCAGAAGCAGAGATGAACTGGAGGAAAGGGCGATGTAGATAGATAATAGATTTGATTGGTAGGTGATAGACAAGGATAGGTAGATAAGTGATAGAGGAGGACATGACAGATGATAGGTACGCGCGCACATGATAGGTGATGGATGCACAGATGGGCGGATACGTGACAGACCGATCACCAGAGCGCCGGCTGCAGGCACCGGGGCAGCAGAAGGGGGCGGAGGGCCCACCTGCTCGCCCACCGGGCCTTGTGTCGACAGCGTGGGGCGAGGCGTGTCTCGCGTGGGCCCTGGGCGGGCGGGGGCGGGCTGCGGGCAGGGGACGGAGCCGCACGGTCAGCCCGCTGTCTGCCCACAGAACCCGGACGTGGAGGTGGACGAGAACGGCACGCTGGACCTGAGCATGAACAAGCAGAGGCCGAGGGAGGGCTGCTGCCCCGTCCTGACGCCGCTGGAGCCCATGTCCCCGCAGCAGCAGGCCGTGATGGGCGGCCGCTGCTTCCCACTGAACGAGGGGGACTGCTGGGACTTGCCCGTGGACTACACCAAGATGAAGCCCCGGAGGGTAGACGAGGACGATCCCAAAGAGGTCGCTGTATGTCCTTTGCCGGGAGCCGCTCTGTCCCCTCACACGGACGGCTGGGTGCCGGCGGGGGGCGGGGGGCGGGGGGGCCATGGCACACGCCTTAAGAGAAAATGTCTTTTCTTGTTAAGTAGGACCTTTAGCTAATGAAACTGTAGAACACATTTTTGGTTGGCTCGGGAAAGATTTGTGACTAACATTGGTTTGGTGAAACAAACCATTGGCTCTTTTGCATGATGAATTTCATATCCTGCACAAGTGTGCTCTCCTATAATTTCTCTAAGAAAATGGGTGAGCAGCACCCCGGTTCACTTTTGTGGGAGGCGTGTTGCTGTCGTGCGGGGTGGTCCTTGCAGAAGGAGCATCAGAGTGCGTCTTGACACGCAGGTGGTTAACTGCGTGCCGGGCCGCGCTCTTCGGCGCTCAGCGGCGTCTGCTCTCCTGAGGACCAGCGCTGCTCGGAGCCTCCCCCGGCCTCGCCCAGGCCACTCACATGGCCACTGAAGGCTCCGCGGGTCACAGCAGCACCAAAGCTCCTCTGTCACGAATGGATTTTAAAAGTAGCTAAAATTTTCAAATTCACGTTATTAAAATGTTGGGTTGGCCAAAAAGTCCACATATTTTTTCCATAAAATAAGACACATTTTCACCAATTACTTTATTGATTTGGATATTTTTAGTATGTTGGCGGAGGCTAGGGCGGTGCTAAACATCTTCCCATGCCTAAAACAGCCCCACAGCAAAGGGTCATTTGGCCAAAATGCCAACAGTGCCAAGACAGTTCACAAACCGCTTTTGACACGTCCGATCAGTCACAGCGACTCCTCCACGCACAGCACAAATCTTTTTGTGTTTCAGTTGTGTTTTTACCTTTCATGAAATAATAAAACGTAACATACCAAAGTGTTGCATATTTTCTTCCATCTTCAATATTAAAAGGGCTGCACAAAAATTCACCAATTTTGATACTGTTTTAAATGCATGCTGATAGGACTGCTGTTCCAATACGATGTAACAAAACTGCTTGGAATGAAGTTAAAGACAACCAAGCGCTACCAGAGCCCTCCTATGGAGAAAACGTAATGGACTTTTTCGCCAACCCAATAATTGTACTACCCTTTTGGCTAAAAATGAAAAAAATCTTGTGTTTTACTGGACTGACTTGGCTCTCCAGTGTTCAATCCTGAAAATTGTAACGTTTCCTCTGTTCCCCGAAAAATGAGAACTGTTTTTGAATACAATGGGGAGGCCACCAGCAGAGCAGTAAGACCTGACAGGAGCGAGGAGGGGGAGGAGGGGGTGGCCGCTGTCCGTGGGGACTGGTGGGGGCGCCTTTCTGCCTCGGGGCTGCTGTCCGTTTTCCTCGGGGTGGAGGATGCACCCCCGAGGAACGGCAGGCCACGCTCCGGAGTGGTTTCCTCTGCTGGAGTGCTGCCTCCTCAGAGCCACATAAGGCATCCTAATTGAATCTCTGGGTTCAGTTTAATGAATATTAAACCCTTGTAAATCAACAGAAGTATTTCCATCACGCAGACAGTCACAGAAGCAAACAGGATGCCTGTGTTCAGAGCCCTGTTTGCTCAACACTGCCACCTACAGGGGTTTCTAGGTTACTGCAGTGGGACCCGCTTCTATGAGAGAGAAAATACTACAAAGGAGTTGTTTAAAACTGCCACATGGAAGTTGGTGTCCCCTTGCCGGGACTGGGGGTCCTGGGTGCAGCAGTCAGCGGTGGTTGCTAACGCGCACGCGGTCTGAGATCGCAGGTGCGGTGCTGACGCCATGCAGCCAGGTTGGGCTGAGGCGGCCATGGCAGCCAGCGCCCGTGGGGGTGGGTGAGACCTGGGCGAGGAGGGCCAGCGCGGATGCCACCCCCGTGCCCGGGCCCCTCGGCGCCTCTCGTGCGCACGGCCGACGGAGCCCGGACCGAGGCCCTGCCCCGGGACGAGTGCCCGTCGTTCTGGAAGGTGTGGAGCAGGTGACGAGACACTAGGCTGGCGCAGGAGGCCGGTCCTCCGTGGACAGATTTCAGTCCGCGTGTTCCGAGGGGCCTCCGTGGACAGAGGGGTATCGTGGTTTAAAAGCACAGCCAGGGAGCGGAGGAGTGAGAGGCCGCCACCCCAGCGGGGTCGCGGCCTCGGGTCGGTGTGTTGCGCTGTCGTCTGTGTGGCCCTGAAGCTGTGTTTCGCCTGCAGCCAGAAGACCTGGACCCCTTCCAGGAAGCTCTGGAAGAAAGAAGGTACCCGGGGGAGGTGACCATCCCCAGCCCCAAGCCCAAGTACCCCCAGTGCAAGGAGGGCAAGAAGGACCTGATCACGTAAGCGGGGCGCCCGGCGCGCCGTCCCCCTTCCTCACCGTCCCTCCTTTGGCTTATTCTAAAAACCGATCTGTACCTGCCTTGCCATCTGAGCATGCGACATTCGCAGCACATACGCGTCTCCAGCTGCCGGGCCAGCAGAGGGGCGCGCCGCGCGGCCGCGCGTGCCTCGGCGCACCGAGCGCGGGGCCGCCCTGCCGCCGCCGCGCACCCTGCAGCTTCTCTCCGGGCGCCGCCCGTGCAGACATTGCAGCTAAACTGGAAACAATGAAGCTTTTTCAAGTTTTTTTTAAACATACTTACTATTTTGGCTGTTTTTGTTTTTGTTTGGTGGCAGATGTCCAACACCAAGGTGTGATGGGAGTGGTCATGTGACTGGTAATTACGCCTCACATAGAAGGTGTGCCTTCATTTTTCTCATGGTGGATTCTGTCTTTTCGATTTATTGTTTTCAGCTTACCTCAACAATGCTGTCAGAGTGAACACGTCCCGCCCTGTGTCACCCCTCGAAACGCTCTGTGTCGGCCTTTCGAAGCATGCTAGCGGCGGTGTTGTATAATGCGTTTTATCTGAGAGTGAGCCGCCTGAATTGGGAGAGTGCTTCATAAACTTTGGAGCCAAAGAGTGCGAATAGTTCTCTTTTCAAAAATGGTTTATTAACAGACCTGGTTTCTTAAATTTATATGTAAACGTAAGCAGAGTTCATTATAAAAAAATTCAATATACAGCACTTGCCCCATCGCTTTTCTGCATTCAACTTTAATTTCAATTCCATGTTGTCTGTCCGGGAGCGCCCGCTGGCGGGGGTTCTCACGGACCTTTCGGGCCTGTCTTACAGTCTGTCGGGCTGCCCACTGGCTGACAAAAGCATCCGGAGTATGCTGGCCACCAGCTCCCAAGAACTCAAGTAAGATTTAACAGAAATCATTCGCTTTTTAAAATCTGTTCACATAGCAGTGGCAAAAAGGACGGGTCATTTGAAAAGAAAAACGCCTTTACAAAGCCCCACGCACAGCCGTGCGGGATGGGGTCCCCGGGGTTGCAGTCGCTCTCTGGTGGTTCGTTCTGCCTTCCCCCCTCGTTTATCTCTAGTGCTTTCAACTCACCACGCCCCCACCCCCATCTGGAGTTTCCCGAGCAGAGCACGCTCTGCCCAGCACCCGTGCGCCTGGGAGGGAGGCTTTACTGAGCTGCTCCAGCCTGGAAGAAAAGGTGGCAACTGAAAAAGTTGATGTCTTGAAAGTCAGTAGTTAGTGTGGTTGTTTGGCACATGCACGTGTCACTAGCACTGTGACAGAGGACTGCCAGGGTAAGAGCTAATTCCGTGGGCCCCCAGGGCCGCGGTCACTGGCGCCCCGCCGTGCGGCCCAGCCCACCGGCCCGTGCAGCCAGGCGCTTACCCGCACGCGCCCCTCTGATTGCTGGGTCTCTGTCTCCTCTCTGTCTGTAAGGTCCTCTATATTTTAAGCATAAATCTGGTTGCTTGCATTCGTACCCCCAGACCAAGGCAGTTCTCCTTGAATACACACGTGTGATCAACCGCACTCAGTTCCCAGGCAGGGTCTGGAAGAAGCCAGCGCCGGGCACAGCCCGCGCGCCGCGGCGTGCGGGTGGGTGGCAGGAAACGGTGGTCCCACAGCGGGACGGGCGCCAAGGGCACCAGTACTTGTTGTGAATATCATCCCGCCACATCGCTGGGCTCCCGCTCTGTTTGGAAGTGGCTTTCTCGCCAGCGTAGAGGAACTGCTGTTGGCAGGCCCCTTGGGACGCCACGCCCAGGGCCCTTGCCCCGCACCCGAGCCCGTTGCCACGCCCCCGGCTGTCCCCCAGTGCGGGGTGCTGTTTCACACCGTGTTGTTTTTTACAGGATCCCCGTCCAGGGCCCCCGTGCCATAGGTCACCTGCTCCTGTTCAGTGACCTCCTGAACTAGCCCTCCCGTCACCAGACTAGCGGAGTCTCTTCGTGGCCTATAAACACTGGGAGGGCTCCCTCTTTACAGCTGTGCCGCCTGTAGCCTGGTCCGCGCAGCTGTGGACGGGTAGCGGTTAGGACTCAAAGTGGACAGAATTAGCCAGAGGAACGCAGCCTGCGTGGCGGCGGCACCTTTTCTCGTGGCTTGAAACTGTCCTTCCCTCAGGGTCAGAGCGAGGCTCGCTGTACGCACACCTCACCCCACACGGCACAACGTGGGCGCTGCCCTGTGACTTCCCTGACAACGAGCCCTTGGCAAAAGTCGGGCCTGTCTCCATTTCCAGCAGGCCCGCGGTCACCAGGGAATGGCCTTCACGCTGCCTGCGTCGAGTGTCGCCTCTTCGCGGTTAGGGTCCCCGCGCCCCGGGACCCCGAGCAATTTCCTGTCGGGTCTGCTTTGCGTCGGTCTGCATCCTTGACTTGGGGCTTCGAAGCCTCTGTGGGTCTGAAACCCCTGCCCCGTCTTGGAAGGCGGTGTGGCGGCACTCTCCCTTCTGCAGGGGCGCTCCGCCCGCCCTCTGCCCGCCTCTTCCGCGGGGGCGCCTTGTCTTCCAGGGGGCCACGCCTCTGCCGCCGTGTGGCTGAACGAAACGCCACGCTCCTGCCTCTACTCGCCTTTGTAACGAGTGAACCCGTTTTGGTGGACCCTGTCTTGGAAATCCAGGCTTGACCACTTCTCTGAAATGGTTTGTGTTTATCATTGGATCTTCAAAGCAGGGATTTCAATGAAATGTATGCAATAAAAAGTAATATTTAAATGAGCAGTTTTTACTTGATGTCTTTTCAACCTGGGGAAACCGCAGGCCACGCCTTCCTCTGACCGTCACGGGCGACGCCCTCCGTCCGGTGCTCTTCCGTCGGGTGGCAGGTGTGTCCCTGGGGCTTTCTGCAGCCTCCTTGCGACGGAGCCGTGCGCGCGCTCTTCCCGGCAGCCCCCTCTTCACACAGGGCTGTGAAGCCCTGGTTCGTCCCGGGGCGGCAGCCTCTTCCCTGGGGAAGGGGGCGAAGGCCCCATTCCTGCGAGCGGCTCCGGCTCCGGCTTCTTCCTACAGACGCGTTAGAAGGTGGTTCCGGTTCCCTCTAAACTCCTCTCCATCATGCACTTGCTAAGAAGTGGAATTTTCTGGAAATGTCCCTCTTGTCTCTTCTAACTCTGACTTTAAGAAAGTTGGCCATTAATAGGACACTCTTGAGCGCGGACTAGCAAGGATTTCTGCCAGATAACTTTGGGTCTTAGATCCGCAAACCTCTTAAACATCCTCAGATGGCGCTTTGCTTGGTCCTTAGGCAGAGCAACCCATTTGGGATATTCTTAAAAAGGAGTCAGGGATTTCACGTCTAGTGATATACAACACATAAGCTGAGTACACGCTCACATTTAATGGGCACATGAACATCATTCAAACTGCGGAGCTCCCGCCCCTCTGGCTCCTGGCCTGTCTCGTGCAGGGAACGCAGTGCGGGCTGGGCAGCCAGGCGAAGCAACACTGGCAGGGGGCGGGAGGGCCACGCGGGTCGGCAGCCCCACGGCGCGCAGACCCTTCGCCTCCGCGCCTCGCGGGCCGCGCGCGGGCGCTTCACGGAGACCCGGGGCCGGAAAGGGGAAGGGAGTTGTCCCAAGTAGAGAGTTTTCTCTTTTTTTGGTGAAAACACTGCTTAACCCACGCTCTGATGCCAAAGGGAAGTTTCTTCTCTTAGAACTCCACCTGCGCGGGTCACCTGAAAGTCGTGCCGTGAAAGAGCGTGCAGAGCCCGTCTCGAGGCTGTGGGCCCTTGTTTAAAAAGCCCGGCCTCCCCGCCAGGAGCTCCTGCCCCTGCCTCCAGCGCACGGTCCCTCGTGGGGGTGGGCAGGGCAGAGGCGTCTCAGCCGCCTCAGCAACCAGCTCCCGCCAAACCAGAGCCGATTTCAGTCACAGACGAGGACCGTGCAAGGGGCCTGCGGGCTGGTTCCATCGCCACTCTGCTCGCCCCGTCCAGGCGCCGCCTTGTTGCTGCTCAGGCCGCGTGTGCGGCGCCCTTGCACGCTGCCGCTCGCGCAGCCCCTCATGGGGACCAGTGCGGATCGCCGGCTTGTCTCCCTTCGCCTCCTGACGTCGGGACTTCGGCTTCGTCCTCAGGGGCAGGGGCGCCGGCTTCGGGCCCTCTGCCCGCGGGACAGCTCTCTTGTGAGCTCCGTGCTTCCTCAGCCCTCGTCCTGGGTGCTTCCCGCGTGGACACGGAGGAATTTCATCCACGTGCACCACAACCCTTTTCGAAAACCCAGTTACGTCTATTTCAAAATAAACTTACATCGAAGAATTAGAATTTAGAACTTAGGCCGAGATATTACTTCTCTCTAAAGGCTACTTATTCCTGGAAGTTGCCGGGGCTTATTGCTCAGCTGTGAGTGCAGTCAGGCCGCAGGAAGCCTGCTCACGAGGATCTGATAGAGCTTTACTCATCCTGCAGCTTGTATTGTTTTGGGGGCTGGAAGTTCACCCGCTGTCCCCGTGCGCCTGGTTCTGAGAAATAGTCCTCATTTCAGTCATCTTTTGCCCACAGACCTTTGTGAGTGACAGCCACCGCTGGGCCCAGTTTCTGCAGCAGGCAGGGGTCTCCCTGGGAGGGGCCGGCCTCCGGCCGCACGCGGCCGCTGACCGCGGGTGGCCGCTGTAGCTGTGGGCTCCGGGGAGGGGGGGCACAGAAGGCTTGCTCTTCCCCTTCAGAGGAGGAGGGCCCTGTGGACCCTTGTCCCAGAACGATCATTTTTTTGGCCACTGGTGCAGCTCCTGGAGATGCCTGGGAGAGTCTGCGGTGTCCGTCGGGGGTCAGGAAGTGGGTGCCCCTCACGCCCACGCGCGGGGGCCGGCGGGCCTCAGAGAGCTGAGCGTCGCCCTTACGCGGGAGCTCCCCCCACCGGCCCCCACGGCGCTGCTGGTCGTGAATCGGGCCGCGCTGGCGGGTGCGTCTGTGGGAGCGGCTGGGGAGCGGCGACAGCCTTGGCGCACGTCAGGCTGCCTCTTCGCAGCTGGTGGCGCTGACGGTGTGCCGTCCAGGGACGGAGGGCGAGCTTTATGTGGCTCTGACCTCGCGCATGGCTGCACGTGCACGCGTGGGCCTGACCCAGCCCTCCATGGCGCACCGCCACCCCGCCCAGCCCCAGGTTCGCGACGTTGCTTGTTGCGGGAGGGGTAACAGGAACGCTGGGTCTTCTGTTCCTGGAGCGCCAGCTCCGGGGCCCCGCCCCCGCCCGCCTGTCTCTCGTGGCCCCGGGCAAAGCCTGGAACTGTCGGCCCCGGGGCCCTTGAGCGTCTGCTGCTCTCACCAGACCCCCGTCCCCTCTGGCGCGTCGCAGGCTGCACGAGACCCAGGCTGTCCAGTGAGAGCTCCCGCCGTCCCTGGGCTCTCTGCGCACACGCAGTGGCCGAGACAGACCAGCCACAGCAGCTCAGGGTCCGGCCCGCACCCGGAAGGGCTCGGTGCTTCTCAGCCGCCCCAGGGAGTCCTCCGGCCGCACTCGACGTGCAGTTCTGCTGCCTTTGCTTTCCTTTGGTGATGCCCTCGCCCCACCCCCTGGTTTTGGTGCAAGTTGCAGTAAAACTCAGCGTGAAAAACAGACTTAGGCCATCAGAGGGCGGCGGGGGCAGGAGGTGTGTTCCGTCATTGGGGCGCAGTGTCTTACTGAGCAGGGTCTCTGTGCAAAATAAAACGCAGGGCGCGGCCGGCCTCTCCATCGCAGGAGGGCGCCGCCCGACCCCGGCGCCTCGGCTTCCTTCCTTGATGGACAGTCGCCCCTGGGGCCGGCAGCGCCGCCCTGTCTACATCCCGCTGCCCCTTCTAACTGGTGGGTTTTGTGGAGGCGTCAGCAGGACTGGGAGAAGGAAAGCCTGTGAGTCGATGGAATGGCTGCTCAGCAACCTCAGTCTGCCACCTGCAGAGACGTCCCCAGACAGGGA